TGGACTGGGGTCAGAAACCCCCTCCAGGAAGCTCAGCAGCACTGCCCTGCACACASARACTCACCRTKMCAAGGGCTGCGAAGGTTTCTGCCACAGCGAGCTCTGCTCTGTGCTCCCACTGCACACTGCCGCTCACCTCTCGCTGYCTCCTCTCCTCTCCTGGCCGCAGCAGCAGCAGGCAGTGCCCGCAGCCCTGCTGCTCTTGCCACAGGAGCTGTTCCTGCACACAGTGTCTCTGGGCAGGGCTGCCACGTTGACACGGGCTGCCTGTGTCCCAGGAGCCTGGCGCTGCTCAGCAGCACAGCCCCAGCTCAACTCACCAATTTCCCTGTCCCTTGTGCTCCCTCCTCCTGGGAAATGGTCATTGCAAGCAATTAAAATAATCACCCCTCTTCTTTATCTAAAGTTTGCAGTGAAGTGGATTCCAACATTGCAATTTCTTTTATCGGAGGACGACTAGGAAATTTGGAAATGTCTCTCTGTGGAAGGCTCAATTCACATCTCTCAGCTAGTCAGGACACCAAGATCAGGGCAAGGACTGAGTTCACTTAACTGTGTTTTGGATATTGGTTCACATGAGTCAATCTGAGCGTCTTATGTTGATTTAGAAGCACATGGACTGCAGAAGGATTCAATTCCTTTCCCAGAACTTCACAAACATGGAGGTCACAAGTATCCCCTTGTCCAAGCTGAAGCTTGAACTACAGCAATGTCTGCATGGGCATTTGCTGTCTAAGCATCAGCTGTAACCACCTCAACTGGACTGTTGGAATCTCTTACCTTGTTACACTTGAACAGAAGTGGTCCAAGCCATGAAGTAGTGTCTATTGTTTTGATGGAGCACGTGTGATACCCAAATGCTTCAAGAGCATCAGATGGGGGCCAGGTGGGGAATTTCCTTCATTATGTCAAATGGCACTAGGCGCCCACTACTGGCAGAGCTCCACTCRCAGWGAAGCTGAGACACATGGAGCTGGTGAGAGTGCAAATTGGAACAGAGTTCATTGCAGGCACTTGATTCTGACACTGAAGCAGGACTAGGTCAGATGCCTGGAGTTTCCAGCACAACTGCAAGGGTGGGATCTATAGGAAAACTTTGCCTTTTTGGATGGGCAAAGACTCTAGTTTCTCTCAGGTTTTCCTGCCTGTGATTAGACAGCTGAATCCCACCACCGCCTTTAGGGAAACTCCCAACACTCTGCATTCAAGTGTGTTGGTGGCGTCCAACAGTGAACATCCTCATCTACAGCAGGAGGAATAGGAGCTGCAACCGCGTTGAAGCCAGGCTTCTTCCTCCTTCTCCAATACAAAGGGGTTAACCTAAGAGCCCACTGCTCTGAACTCCGTTGGATACCTCCAGGGCAAAGAGGAGAGTTTCCCTTTGCAGTGTCTCTTCTAGCATTGACACCAAAGGAGCTCAAGGGCACAGAGTCAGGCCAGAGGAGTACAGATGAGGTGGGACCATGGGTCCTGTGTCCATTAGGAGAGCTCTGCTCCCTATATACAGCCAGGATGTCACCTCACACTCTTGGGATTCAGTGACATTCAGTTTGCTCCTGTGCACTCCACAAACTCAGAGCAGGATTCCCTTGGCCCAATTTTTGGAGTGCACAAAAAGTCTGCCTGCATGGGAGCTTCTTCTCTCAGCTCCCACTGGAGTTAGTGGAGATGGGGGAGGGAGGCAGATGTACACACCAACTCACTCCTTTGGACTTTAAAAGGAATAGAGGTGGTCCAAGACATATGCAAGTGCCTCCTTGCTCTGGCAGAGCAACTGGCAGACACATGTCCACCTAGTACATCAGGCAGGTCTTCTTGGCACATGGACATCTCAGTGCCTACTACTCCCTAGAGCTCGACTCACTTAGAAGCTTACAGCTGTGCAGTTCCAGACATTGCAAAGAGCTTGTATAACTCACTGCAGGTACTTCAGACCACACAAGGAAAACAGGCCAGCGTGTCAGATGCAAGATGTCATGGTGTCTCCAGCAAATGTCCTTGTTTCTAGAATATTCAAGAGCAAAACAACAGGAAACTCAGGCCCCCCAGAAGGGTTAATGGGCCAACACTCTAGTACACCATGGTTTTCACACCTGGTGCCCACAAAAGGATTCCTACTACTGCCTTCAGGAAAACTCGCTCATCAGGAAGAGCTTTCTCTGTTTCAGTAAGCATCTTACTACCAATGAAGGCCTTTAGGCATCTGGCCTTATTCACATGAGCATGTACCATTGCTTTATATGGCATTCCTCATAACAGCCAGGAGGTTTCCTTGGTAGTGTGAAACAGTATAAAAACATCAAACAGCCCAAAAAATTCCCCAGCTTGGGAATTTCAGATTGGACATTAGGATGAAGGAATGACACTTRAAGGCTGGTGCTGTAGTGCACAGGCCACCCAGGAGGAGTCAAGGATCATCYCATGGCTTTGTGTGTCAGGGAACAGGCAGCGAGCATGGAGAGACAACCGTGAAGGGCAGGAGATCCCATGTGAGGACAAAATGGGGAAGTAGGTTGGGTGTCTACAGGATGCATGGACACAGCTGCAGGTATGAACCAGCATAGGACAGGCTCTGCTGGAGACAAACAAAGGCCTGCCAGGGCTCAAAGACAGCAGAGGGGGTCTGTGTCCTCTTGGTATGGCTGTTGTCTCTGCTACCAASACAGACACCTGAAAGGTCCCATATCATTGTCCTACATTGAGCATTGAACACTCCACTCCACACACTGTCGCCAAGAAGACCTGGAAAACATGTGGAGAAAGGATTTCTCTTCCCAGAAACTCTGTGGCTGAACTTGGACATTTTGCCTCATAAAACACGTCAAGGGTTAATGTGGCATCAGAGCCACCTATATGTTTCCTCTGACTTCCTGTTATCAATGATAATAATGTTCTGCTCTAATCAGCCCCTGGAGACCCTCTGTTCTTAAAGTTTATCATTGGGACCCATTAAAGCTCTACAGAACTTAGTGCTTCTGTTCATTCTTCTTCCAGTAACTGAGGTTCATGAATTCAGCACCAAATACACCATGGGGCTCATTAAAATAGGAAAAGCTCTCACAAAGCCTGTCTCTCCCTGCAATTTTCTTCAAGTCTTGCATGGCAAATTGGAGATATTTCAAGAGTGTAGCTGAATGGTGGAGACATCAATAATATAGATGCATTTCTGTTTTTAAAGCTTTTCATTGTTACAGAGAAAGGGACAGAAGCATTCTCCAGCTGGATTCAATCCAGAATGACTCCTAATGCAGTCTGGACATGTAGGAAAACCAGTGTTCCACACCTCAAGCACTCTATGGACACTCCTACTCTCACGTTCCCAGCCTGCCATTCCTCTCATCAGCCACCTGGGACTTCCATCACTCTTCTTGGAAGCTTTCCTGTTCTACTCAAATGGGCAACTGAAGGTTACAGCTTATCTGCCTCAATTCCCACCTGCTTTCCATACAGAACTAGCTACAAATAAACACAGGATTTTTTTCTTAATTGCAAAGAAACAGAAATAAAGCATGAAATCATTTCATAAAGACTAATGATGCCCTTTGAGTGTAGGCTAAGCTTTAAACTCCCAGAAATACAAAACAGCAGCTGGGTCTCTCAGTGAGCAAAGAGGAACAGGAGTCGCAATACTGCAGGTTAACAATGGCCACCTTGTGTTCTGTAAGGATCATTTTAGAAATTGTCAGTTTAAGCAAGACACATGTGAAGAGGAGGGCCATACACCTCCTGCAGGTCCTGGGTCATGACGTGGGACATGTAGCTTTGGGAGATCCCAGAACTACCTGCACTTTTCTACACAAGTAGGGAAAACCTACTGATTGAAAACACTGATTGAAGACCCTGGAGAGCAGGGATTTTCCTGGCTGCTGAGAGTGACCCAAGCAGTACTTGGGGATGTCAAAGGAAACCCAACCCACCAACACCGAAAGCACTGGACCTTCCTGAACCCTTGTAGTGTAAGCAGGAGGGAACAGCAATGTCCTAGACTTCCTCCATCAGGCCTTCAGCTCCACAACTTGTCATGGCTTGAAGGGAGCTCCCTACACCAATCCTTCCCATGACCCTAGTGCACAGAGCGGACTGAGGAGACATGGAGGAGTAAAGGGAGAGAGAGGGGGGATACCCCAGAGTGCATCTCTGAGCAACAGACACGTTGCTAGAGGTTGAATAAGCAACCCAAAAAAAGGAGCAAGGACGTGCTTCGGTGTTCAGTGGCTTCCAAAGCCACATCTCTGCCCAGCTTCAAGGGGAATAGGGTCTCCCTTCTGCAAGATTTGCCCAGGACTGTGTAAATACTACAGAAAGAGGATCATTGGCTGGTGGAAATTCCAGCAGTTGGGGAGCCGGAAGATTGTGCTCTCACCAACTTCTGAACAATTCAAAACGCAGCTCCTGAGGCAAGTCAGTGCCTTACAGGCTCCATACGGGAGCCTTGACAGCAGGGCTACACCTTGTGGGCCTGTCCTGAGACACCCAGGGTCAAAAGGGTGGGAGATCCAGGGTTCCAAGGCACTACAGATCCCACGGACAGGCAGGTGCCAGGAACGATACTCAGATTAGAAACATTACCTGGAGGTGTCATGGAAAAGCCCAAGGAATAAGGAACGTCCAAGAGGAGAAATGGCTTTCCTCACAGATAGATGAAGGAAAGCTGGCAAAATTCATGGGATTTGGAAACACTTTCTCAGATTTGTTGCCTGGCTTGACCCTTGGTTTTGGAGCCTAGCAGGAACCAAACCCAGCATCTCTATCCCACAAGAGACAAAGAAAGCTTGCTGAGGACTTTTAAAAGCAATGAGTCTTTAGAGGTTGTCTCAGAAGAGCAGATTCCTTGAGCCTTGATTAGCGAGTACTGGGATCTGCTGAAGGAATCTGCTGAATATACATCTGCTAAAGGCAGATCCCAGTAGAGGACGAAACTTGGGGCCTTTTGCAGTGAATTTGGGGAAACACGGCATGCATGCCAAGTATATGCCAAGTGGATACACATCAAAAAGTTATTAGTTGGGATACTGTACATACTGAAGGATTTTCCTCAGTGCCTCCTTGAGCTCCTTGTTCCTCATGCTGTAGATGAGGGGATTCACTGTTGGAGGCAACACTGAATACAGAACGGCCAGTGTCAGATCCAGAGCTGGGGAGGACATGGAGGGGGGCTTCAGGAGGGCAAACACTGCAGTGCTGACAAAAAGGGAGACCACGACCAGGTGTGGGAGGCACATGGAAAAGGCTTTGTGGCGGCCCTGCTCAGAGGGGATCCTCAGCACAGCTTGGAAGATCTGCACGTACGACACCACAATGAAAAGGAAACACCCAAAGAATAAACAGATGCTAACTACAAGAAGCCCAACTTCCCTGAGGTAGGAGTCTGAGCAKGAGAGCTTGAGAATCTGGAGGATCTCACAGAAGAACTGTCCCAGAGCATTGCCTTGGCAGAATGGTATTGATACTGTGTTCCCAGTGTGAAGGAAAGCATTGAGAAAGCCACTGGCCCAGGCAGCTGCTGCTGTTTTGACACAAGCTCTGCTGCCCAGGAGGGTCTCATAGTGCAGGGGTCTGCACATGGCAACAWAGCGRTCATAGGCCATGACTGTGAGGAGACAATACTCTGCTGTCATGAAAAAGNGGCCATGACTGTGAGGAGACAATACTCTGCTGTCATGAAAAAGGCAAACAGAAAGACCTGTGCAACACATCCCCAGTAGGAAATGGCCCTGGTGTTCCACAGAGAACTASYCATGGATTTGGGGACAATGGTGGAGATGGATCCCAGGTCAAGGAGAGAGAGGTTGAGGAGGAAGAAGTACATAGGGGTGTGCGGGCGGTGGTCGCAGGCTATGGCTGTGATGATGAGGCCGTTGGCGAGGAGAGCAGCCAGGTAGATGGCCAGGAAGAGCGAGAAGTGCAAGAGCTGCAGCTCCCGTGTGTCTGCAAATGGCAGGAGGAGGAACTCATTGAAGGACCTGCCATTGAACATTTGCTCTTGATTCACAGCACTGTCCAAWAAGGAAAAAACATGAGCAGGTTAGAAAGGACTTCTGTGAGTAAAACGCATTCTGCTTTTCATAGTACTCCCCACATGGCCTCCCTCCTTTACCTTGTTCAGCTCCCTTGTC